GGGGGACCGGCACCTCGTACCAGCCGAGCCGCAGCCGCCCAGCGCGGATCGCCGGGTGTCTCCGAGCCGGGGGCGGCTGGCTGGAAACTGCCCCTGAGACTGGAAATTAAAAATTAGCCCTTTTCAAGGCAACACCAGGGGCTTTCAGGAATTCCCACCCCTCCCCTGAGAGCCAGGCCCTGCCAAGGGACGCCCTGGCACACCGTGCTTGGACCTTTGCTTCAGGGTCTGTTGATACTGGCAAAGGCTCCTTCCAGGAGCCACCGGCAGCAGCTGCACATCCCCATCCCCTCCCAGAGCAGAGGCCGAGGGGACAGCACCTCGTGGAGCCTTGTGTTCCCCCCTGTGTCAGATCTGGCACAGCCCAAGTGCTGTGTCAATGCTGTCTGCATGGGATCCCCCATGCTGTGCCAGACCGGGGGGACTGCGGCGGGGGGGCTCCCCACCAGGCTTACTGGTCCCAGCAGGACCAGTGCAGCAATTATTTCACAGCAGCTGGGCATACCTGCCTGAGAAACCCCCTCCAAAGCCCCCTGAGTGAACAGGGGACCCCAGCAGAAGTGTGGTGTCACAGCAGGGGGAGAGGGGACACTGTAACCTTACCTCACCCTGGTGAACACCACCCTCATCCCTGCTCTTTTCCCACCAGCGAAGGAGGAGTGGATGCCCAGTGGGAAATTGCATCCTGCTGCTCTCAGGTTTTCTGTTCTGCTTCCTGAAGAGCCTGACTTGGTACTCTGCCTTCACACTTACACCAAGATTACTTTCGCTGATGAGGGAGAAGACTTGCAAAATAAGCCAGGACTGTGGTGAAGCCCAGATAGTCACTTTTCCATGTGCAGCTTGTTGGGGCTATAAATACACAGCTCCTGCCTGGGCCACCAGCTGTGGGGGCTGAGCAGCTCCTTGTGTGTGCTGGGGGGGCCCTGCCTGCCATGGGCCCCTGCCCTGGGCTAGCCCCATGGCAGGCAGGGAGGGGGCTGTGCCTGGCTCCAGGGGATCACCCTTCGTTGACTGCACCCTCCTCACCCTGCAGTGTTCCCCAGGTGGGAGTGCCACCATGGGATTCCTGAACCTTGATCACCCTTGCCCCACGCTGCAAGTGGGGAAGGGGCTGTAGGCTGCACCCAGGTGTCCTGTTTTCTGTGGGGGTGGGACAAGCCGCATGCATGGAGAGGAGGGCCTGTGTTGTGGGACTCTGGACGCTGCTCATCTGGGGAACCTCTGACCTGAAGGCACCGGAGAAGGCATGTTTTCAGGTGGTTGGCAAACCCCCCAGAACAATGTGTTCTGCCCTAGTCTCAAGCTGCCAGGGACAGGGAGGGGCCTCAGAGACTGGGACCCTTCTTGGGGGAGCTGCCGCTAACCCAGGCACGCCGAATCAGCAGGACCTTCATGTCCATTGGGATGCAGCTGCCCTGTGGGGCTTGGGCTGGCTGTACCGCAGCCCAGGTGACAGAAGGCAACATGGTGACAACTCAGGTCCAGGGAAGTCTGGACCAGATGATGCCCCCCATCCCTGTGGCTGAGGGCAGGGGGCAGTGTCCCCACAGGGCTGGCAGGGAGAGCCTGTCGTGTGTCCTGTGGTGTCCAGAGAGCGCATGTGCAGCCCAGCAAAGGGCAGAGCTGGGGTTTGAGGAGCAGGTAGCGAGAGGGGACCGTTTCAGGCAAGGCATCTGTGCCCCGCAGGGACTGTGCAGCCAGCAGCCAGCCCTGCTCTGCTCTGAGCCCTGTGGGGAGTGGGGGAAGTGCCCGGCAGGAGTGCTGCGAGGCCAAGAAGGGGAACTGGGGGCATTCCAGCACTGCTTGAGGGCTTGCAGCACCTACAGATGCCTCAGCTCAGGGTCTTGGGCTTGTGCTGCCCTGAGCTGAGGCATCTATAGGGCCACAGGGCCCAGCCAACAACTCCTCTGCCCCTTCACTCGGCCCCTTTCTGCCCATGCCTGTGGCAGCCTAGAGAGCTCAGCACTGGCCCCAGGAAAGCTATTTGTTCAATAAATACAGACAGTGAAAAGAGGCATTGGAAAAAGAAGGGAAAAAAACAGAAAAAAGCAAACACCAAATCCTCTTTGGGTTTGCGCAAGTGGCCTTGGGTCCCAGACAGTATTGATCCCCGAGTCTTCCACCCTGCCTGTGCAGCAGCTGGGTCAGCGCGAACCCTTCAGGTCTGAGTCCTGGAGGCACCAGGGCCTGGAAGCCCGGATCTCAGCACGGTGACTGCTGTGACCTGATGGGGAGATGCAGATCCCGGCTCCAGCTGGGCTCAGTGGGAGCACCTGCCTCAGGATGCATGCAATGTGGGCAAACACTGTCTCCTGCTAGTGGTTGTTCCATCCCTGCTCAAGGTGTCACAGGTCCTCTGGGGCAATGTGCATCCTGGTCCCCACTCCAGCCAGAGCTGCTCATGGCTCTGACCACCGCTGCCTGATCCTGGAGTGGGACAGCAGATGCAAAGCTGTCCTTCAAGCCAGATGGGGAGAGGGTCTGGCACCACCCTCCTCCCTCTGCCGACCCACTTCCCGCTTGGTTCAGCTCTGTCTCCAGCCTCTGGGGTGGGGTCGTCAGTGCTTGCAGGGTGGACCACGGCATTGCGGTCACCCAGCTCCACCCCAGCCAGCTGCATGCACCTCAGGGGATTGCCCCAGCAGCTCCCCTCGTGAACCTCCCTCTCCCACCCCCAGCACCCTCTCCCTGCTTTCTCAGCCCTCACACATGGGGGACGTGGGAAGCAGTGGAGAAACTCTAACACAAGATTACGTAATGGAGCTGATGTGTCAGAGCTGCCCTTTGCCCCCAGCTCTCACGGCACTGACATGTCCCACTTTGCCGCCAGCTGGGCTGGCGAGGCGCAGTGAAAGGGGCAGCTGCTCTGGGCCACAGGCCAGAGACATGCCGAGAGGTTGCTCCCCAGTGAGGGAGCTGGCATGGGGTTGTAGGCAAGGGTGGGTGTCCTGGGCACCATGGCTTTGGCGATCTTGCCTAGCAGTCTCTGTCCACTTCAAAAGGGAGAAGAGTTGCTCAGTTTTGTCCTGATTTGGAACAAGAATGGCCAAATACTGATGGTTTTGGTGGAATGGAAAATTTGGCCCAACCAAGGAATGGTACCTTCCCCAGCGGGAATCACAAGCCCCCTGTGTCTGGGGGCTCCCATACCATGCCCTGGATCCAGTTGAGACAAGTCAGGGGTTCTGCATCCCCCCGGGAAAGGCAGCCAAGGGGCAGAGAGCATGAGAGCTGTGGGGGCCAGCAGCATTGCAGTCTTTGGGCACAGTGCATCCTGGTGATGGATGCCCAACCTCGCTGCCTGGGTTTTATAACTAAGTTGTTGGTTAGAAGAGGACTGCACATGGCAGAGTGGGTCAGTTCTGTGCCATCTTGGAGCTGTCTGTGCTAGGGCACATCCACCACCTTGCACCTTGGGGAGAGGTGGAAGATGAGCTGGCTAATGACAGGGCACACGTGTACACATATATGTGCACACACTATGGCTGGGAGTCTTTTATTGAATACCAGGTAGCTGAGATGCTTGGAGAGGGAGACACTTTCCTCCCACTGGGATCAATTTCCCCTTCCTCACCCCCCTCAACCTCACGTCCAGCTGAGGAGTGGGGCCCCGTGGATGGCTCTCTCCCCTCTGGCCTAGCCATCCCCCAGCATCTTTTTGGCTTCTATCTCCCCCAGCAGCCTGAGGTGGCCACTGCTGGGACCCATTACCTGAAGAGCACACGTTCGTGTTGCAGCACTGAGGGCCGCACCATGGCCTTGGTCTGGGACCAGCAGCAGGGTGAGCCGGGGCTGCCCTGAGCTGCTCGGGGAGCCGTGCTCTGCAGAGTCCTGCAGGTAGAAGTGTCTGGTGTCCATCAGGAGCTGGTCTCAGAGGCCGTGGCTCATGGGCAGAGAGGAATCCATGGGCAGATCTGAAGGGGGAAAAGAGCCGCGTGGGAGGTGAGGGAAGAGAGGACTTGCAGATTCAGCATCACCCTTGATGCTTCAACTTCAGGAGAAGAAAACACCTTGGCATGGTTCTCGCACTGCCAGAGAGGGGCCGGGAGGAGGGGAGCCCTGTGCAGCACAGGTCCTGCCCTCCTGCCTCCTCAGGCAGACGGTCAGGTACAACCACAGGCATCGACAATCATGTCGGGGATGTCGGTCTTAACAATGTTGCTGTCCCGGTCATAGTAGAGCAGAGAGAGAGGGCGACGCTGCGTGGGCACGCAGCAGGAGTCCACAGCTGCGTCCGCGTTGTTGGCTTTGATGAGGTTGAGGACAGCTGTGTGGAAGGAGGCAGCGAGGCCAGGGATGCCAGCCATGTGCAGGGGGCAGAGCCCGGCGCAGTAGTTCATGTGATATCCCTCTGGCTGGATGATCCAGTCCTCCCAGCCAATCTCCTTGAAGTCCACGAAGAATTCCTTGCGACAGCACATCCGAGAGTCCCCACTGCAATCAATGCCGCGCCGCTGGACCCGGTGGGGCGTCCTGGCCCGGGCCTGGGCTGCAACAAATGGCCAGTGGGAATCACTGTGTCCAGCCAGGAGGGGAGACCCCCAGTCCTCTGCCACCTCCAGCTCCACAGTGAGCCTCTGGCTCCCTTGGCTGAAGAGGCTCTGGACAGCTTGGCCCACGTCCAGCGTGGCCCAGCCAGCCCTCTGCACCTCCAGCCGTGTCTCACTGGCCACGGTCATGTTCAGCCCCGTCAGGTCTGGCTGCAAGAGTCTGATGGTGACAGGATGTGTCCTGGGGCCGGGGGCTGCCCAGAACAGGTAGAGGGTGGCTTGCAGGATCTCGGTGCTCCCAGCCAGCTCCCGTGTGAAGTGGAAATGCAGGCGAATGCTGCGGGAGGTGGAGGACCCTGTGCACAGAACCGAAAGCAGAGTCAGGGGGTGAAGGGAGGAGGGGGGGGCTCCCGCAGCTGGGGGCCACTGAGTTGGAACAAATGGGAGGTATATCCAAACCAGGGAGCAGGGCGCAGTACATACAGGTGTCGAGGGGCCCCCACTTCCCTGCACTGCTGCTGCTCCTCCTTATCCCACTCTAAAGCAGCAGCATCTGGGCCCGGTGCTGAATGCAGCAACCCGGCTTGGTTCCACCTCCTCTGGCCTGAAACCCCCTTGTCAGTGAAGCTGCTGGAGGATTTTGGAGTAGGTTATCTGGCTGCGTAAACCAGCCTTGGATTTAAGGCAGTCACGCTGATTTGTACCTCCAGGATTACCTCTGCTTCCCATGGCTGGAAGCATCACCTGGCATTGCTCCAGCATGTCCCACCCTTGCTGCTGCTGAGGCTGCAGAGCCACCTCTCCTCCTCGCGAAGGAAGGGCTGACAGGGACTGTGAGAGCAGCGCTGGGCTCCTTGGCACAGCTCTGCCCGTGAGGACACAACCCCCCTCCTCTGTGGTCTGGCACAGCGCAGCAGGGCGAGAGACTGGGCTCAGCCCTGTGGCTCACGCTGGTTCTTCCACTTCCAGCAGACACTCCACCGAGCCAGGAGACAACTCCCCATTGTCCTCATGTATGGGAACACAATGTACTGTGGAGGAGCATTGTTCCCAGAAGTCTTCAAGGACATGGCAAGCCCTCGCCATCCCACAGCAGGCATGCAAACCACACAAAGGCCTGCAAGGGGAGTGTGTGCCCCCCCCACGTCATCAAGCAGCAGTTTGGGCTGGGCAAAGTGACGGTGCAGAAGGATGCTCTGCAGGATGGAGCAGTGATTCTGCTTCTTTCCAAAGAAGGCTGCATTTGCCTGGGAGAGTTGGGGGGTACAGGACCCTGTTTTTCCAGTGGTACTTGTCAGGACCCCTGAGCACGTTTTGGGGGAGCTCTCTCCTCCCAGGAACGCAGCTGATTCTGGAGTGAAACGTGGCAGCCCACCACTTCGGGTAGGAAGTCGAGACACAGCTGAGTGCAGGGAGCAGATGGGCTTTGGAGACCTAAGTCCACACACTGTGAGCTGTTGGGGAATCTAGGGTTAAAATCATATTTTGAAAAACGTGGTCATCTGACCCCTCCACCTCTAGCACAAGTGGGGAGGGTTCAACAGAAACGGACAACAAATTAACATGATACAGCAGTCCATCTTTGCTCCTGCACCCACCCCCTTGCCCCAACATGTCCCATATGTAAATGAGAGGGGCCCCAGAGCCTTAGTAGTGCTTCCCCTGCCTGTGGCGAGGAGCGGCTGGTTGGGGTAAGCTTGGGAGGTGGATGCAAAGGTTCTGGATATGGTGCCTCTCATTGCTAGTCCTTCCAGCAGCAGTGTGCCCACCGGCCCGGTGCATAGCCTGGAATTGCTTGCAGGAGCGTGATGCCCCTTGTGCAGAGCTTTTGAAATACCTGTGCAGAGGAGGAAACCTCTCACCACCTTCCCCCACGCAAGGCCTTCCTTCCCTCCGTGCCCCCCCACCTCAGGGCCCATCCCACCATGCCCATGGGATGCGGGGTCTGTACAGACCTGACTCGGCAAAGCTCAAGATCTCATATTCCTGCACACCCATCCCAGGACGCAGGTGTGGGATGCTGCCATCATGGGGCATCCCTGGGGAGACGGCCGTGTCCATGTGCTGCGCACGCATCCTGCGGAGCGCGGTCAGCAGGGCCCCCCTGGACGTGGGCTGAGTGATGTTGGGCCTGTCTGGCAAGCGGAGCTTAGAGAGGATGCTCTGCTTTGCCAGCGCGATGAGGACGTCCCGCTGCGTGGTGGGGGCCAGGGCCGCCAGCCCACAGGCTGGGCACCACACTCCCTTGGGAGCCGCCATCCTCAGAAGGCTCAGGAGCAGGAAAGCCACCGTGGCTGTCATCTCTGGTGCCAGGAGGTGACAGCTTGGGGGTCTCAGCAAACAGTGTTCCTCCAACTGTCCGATAAGCCGAAGTCAAACCGGGACAGCAGCGCTTGGGGCCGGGAGAGCAGAGCACAGCAGCAGGATGGCAGCGCTGGACTCCGCAGGAGCAGAGAGCGAGGAAGGGCTTGTTCTCCTGACGTGGCCACAAATATTGGCTGATCCCGGGCAAGATAAACGCCCCTGTGATCCCGCAGGAGCCTCTCTTGGGCACGGGGCAGCCGCGGCACAGCTCGCCCCGGGTTAAGGTGGACCCGGGCGGATGGCGCTCCTGCTCAGGGGGCTCGGCCCGGGGCTGCCCACTCGGCAGAGGCTGCCCGGGGGCTGGGGCTCAGCTCCGGGCAACCTGCTCCGGCCAAGGGGGGCTACCCCGGTCCCACCCCGCTGCCCATCCCAAGGGTGGGCGCCCAGGCAGCTGGCAGGGGTCCCCGCGTACGGCCCCC